GCTATTGACTCATATGCTAGGCACGTGGGTGTCTTTATTGTAGGGCGGACACCGCTCTATTGAAAAGGTTGGCGACCTAAGGCCATTATGAATAAGTTATGAAAACCTATCTTCCTTCTCTTTCTCCTAAGTGTATGCGAGCCATTGGAAATATTTTTAACAGCTGTATTATAATGAGATACATTATTTCAATAACCTTAGTTTGGAAATAAATGATTATGGTTATCAAAGAATTTTTCACAGCATGATATTTCGGTGCTGGTTTTTAAAATAATATATGTGTATTGGATATAATAAATGTCCAAGTAATGAAATTATGATTTGTAAGAATTAAATTACTTATGTATATGATAAGTTTATTTGATTATTTCTTTTGCTATAAATGTAAATTATTCTTTTGATAAAAATTTATATTTTAAGTGTGTGTGCAATTGCAAACATTTGGTAAGTTTGTCATTTATGAGCTACCATCTGAGTTTTATACTGCAGCGCGTTGATTTTTTATCACGCGTGTGTTGCTGAAGGGTTGACACGTGGTTGCTACTTGAAGATCAGAAGAGGTAGATTTAGAACAGAAGAGAACTATTTTAGTAGTAGTAGAATTATTTGCATGTTACTTAGAATCATGGCATTGTATAATTATTACCTTTCGGAAGATTATGTATTTGAAGTATAACTAAGCATGTAGATTGAAATTAGGTTTGGTGTATATATTTGAGTAAGCATTAGAGATTTTATTTCAATTGTTTGAATATGAAAAATATTATAGTATTATATATAATGAATATTTTAAGTTGACGAATATTAAAAAGTTTTGGAGGAATTAGTAGTATAAAAAATTATAGAGTACTATTGTGTGTATTATTGATGGGGTTTGGATTTGAATTTGGGACTGCTTGTATTCATATGTTTGGCATATTTTTAGGGGAAACTCTTGCAGTTTTTCTGTAGGACTCTCCCAAATCATTTTCAAAACAAAATATTATTACTTGCTAAACTTGTGAATACTAAGTGACTTCTAATTCATAATATGGTTGTGTGATTTATATGTCGGTTAGGAAGGTGCCTCCGGCACCGAATGTCGCATCCACCGTCGGGTCTTTCGGGATTGGGCTGCGGGTGTTACATGTTTCATGCTCTCTTTGTGTTTACCTGTTTATGATATGTCGTGAGTGCGCATAACAACACGTCATAATCTATTTAATGGTATGGTTCACATCATTGGGTGCATACAGTCCTAAAGGATAGGCTTATACTCAAATAAGGAATTGGCTTATAAGGGATCCCATACTTTTGAGCATGGATATTTACCAAACCATGTGTGAACAAAGAGTTCACATGGGTCCAACAGTACGCACCACTTCATGGGCCCCACCCCCAAAAGGATTTAGGGATGTTTGCCTTGGTAACTTATGTATGAGGACGCTTTGCTGTCTGGTCTATCAACAAAACTGCGATCAGCGCTACATCCAGGACCAAAAAGTTTGAACATATAATAAATGTACATTTTGAAAATTCATTTTTTATGCAATGGAGAAAAGGATTCTCCAATCGGTGCAATAAATCAACCAAATTTAAAATGTTTTAATCCAAAATTTGTTTCAATTAAGTTCAAATTTCCCCTCTATGTTCAAGTATTCTTAGTAATGAAGAACACTCGATTTATGTGTCAAGGTACCCCTGCCAAAACAACGCATAGTAAAATAAAAACCGTAAGAAGGGCTGGTTTAGTTTACACAGCCAATCTAGTCCACTTTATGCAAAAAAGATTACATAAAGCGCATTCGCCTAGCAGAGTCGCCAAAACTGTAACCCCTCTCCAAAAACATCAAAATGTCATATGAATGCCATTGGACTAAGGGCAGAAATGCACTGAATGTTATGCAGTCGCCACCTTGTTTAATTATTTTAGGGACTAAGTGACTCCAATTTTTAATTAACCTAATTACTAGGGTTAATTATCCCAATGTCTAAGGCACAATCTTCGAACCCGAAGGTGGATCGTGAGACTATGTCATGCTGATAAAACTAATCGACTGGAATGAATGGCTTTTGCAGGTGAATGAAAATAATTGGACCAATTGAAATGTTTATGTGATTTCGACTTGCCGCTCGGGGTTTTAAATCCCAAACGTGCTTAACGTACTTCCGTTTGAATGGAGATTCAAAGTCAACGTAGTCGATAGGCTCTCTTTAGAGGGCTTTAGAATGGGGATTTGCTCTATGCATGGAGTGTGGTAGTGCTTCGCTTGCATTTGTTTAGGGCATTTCTGCCTGAAAATTGATTGATTTTTAGGCATTTGGTTGCCAAAAGCGTTTGATTGGGGGCAATTTATTTGCCAAAATGATGTTTGGGCTTTATTGGCTTGCCAAAAAAAAAAATGGAAAGGCCTTTGGCCAAACAATTTGGATTTATGCAATCTGATAGCAAAAGATTGGTTATTTAGAGGCTTTTTAGCCAATGTGTTGATTTCGAAGACTTTTAGCCAAAAAGATTAATTTTAGGCCAATTATTGCCAAAAAGTTGATTATTTAGGCGATTGCGCCAAACTTGAGTGATTTAAGACTTTTAAGCCCAAAAAAAATGGTGATTTAGGGCAAAATTGTTGCCAAAAAATATTGGTTATTTCTTACTTAAGGCAAATTTGTTTGGCCTAAAGTAATTAATCATGAACTGCATGTAGGCAATTTAATGCCAAAAGAACGTGAATTAAGTTAAGGCCTTTTAGTCACAGATTTATTGATTTAATTGGACGTTAAGCGGAAAATGGCGAAAATAAAAGGCAAATCATACCCATAGCCAGTTGATGAACTAGATATTTTAAGCCCAAATATTGTCGGATTTAAAGCTTTAACCACGATTATTAATTTAATCCGCGGCATTTAAGGCTTAAATCTATTTTTAATTGAGGGCAATTTACTTGCCTAGAGACATGGAATGCATTTATGCAGTTGTAGAATTGGAAGAGATATAAGAGAAACATGCATGAAGTGCTAAAATTAAATAGGCAGAGTTTAGTTCATGTAACCTGAATTAGTTCGATGACCGCTTCTTAACTCCAGGTTAAGCTTCCTCATTAAGGGAATTTTAATTAATTTAATTTTAGTGACCACTTAACAAAGCAAGAAAGCGGATAAACTTAAATTAAAATGCAAAAAGCAGGAAAGAATCAACAAGGAGCGTAGGGAAGATGCGTTCGTCAACACAGGACTGATAGGAAAAAGGAAGTGCCGGAGCCACTATTTATAGGCGAAAATCGGACTATTTCGGCGGTCCCGGGCTGCTGGCTCGGCGGCCGGGTCGGCGCCGGGGGCCTCGGGGCTCGGCGGCTGGGTTCGGATTGCCGGCGGCCAAGCCGCCGGAACGCCAGCGGCTGGCCGCTGGCCTAGTGGTTGCTATTCTCGTCCGGAGGCTTTTTCCGGGGGAGCTCGGACCTGCCGAAAAAAATTCGGGGAACCAGTTCCCGATCTCTCGCGACGTCCCGGACGTTTCAAGTACCATATTGGCATACTTTCGATGAACTTCCCTCGATGAACTTCCAAAATGGCCTTTGGTCCGGTCGGACTGTTTGCAGTCCGGGAAAATTGGCTCTTCGAGCCTCAAAATTTGGGTATTCACAGTTAGAATCGGATATTGATTACTTAAAGAGTTTATTCAAGTTTTTTTATTTCTCCATTGTATTAAGTTACATAAAAAAACGTTTTATTATCTCGAAATAAACCGTCAATTTTTCCAACAACCATACAGAAAAAATATATTTTTTCTTTTTTATCTATCTACTAAAAAAAAAATTATGTATATTCTATTTGAAAATTTATCTTTAAAAAAGTATATCCAATCAAATAATATAAACATAAAGAAAAGGAGTATTAATAAAAAGAATATACTTTTTTCTTTTTTTTTAATCTCTCCCTAAATAAAATATTTTAAATTATAATCAAAATAAAATGAAATATTTAAAAAATAAAATATAAAAATTTTAAATCTCTCATTATCATATATATTTATTAAGGAATAAATTAAAAAAAAGATAAAACTTAAAATTTTGAAAATTTTAATTATCGATATGTATTTATTTAAAAAATAATTTTTAAATTATCGATATGTATTTATTTAAAAAATAATTTTTATAAATTATATCCAATCAACTAATAAAACGTAATTTTCAATTGACTATCACTAAATTATTTGAAGATATTCTAAATTTCATTAACTACGTTATCAGAAATCTCATTATTTCTTATTATTTCTACGTTTATATATAATATAAATACATACTATTTCTGTATTTATACATAGTATAGATAGATTATAGATATTTTAAATATATTTTTTAAATATAATTGAAATATAGGATTTACAAATACTAAATAACTTTTAAAAAAAGAAAAATGATTAAAATTTAATATTAAATTAAAAATTAATTAATTGAAGTTACCCATAGTTTTAAACCAAGGTTGTCAAAATGGCTATTTCAAGTGAATTTGGTAGAGGGTCCACAAAATCGCAGCATAAAACCGAAAGGTTTTACAAATTATCTAAAATAAAAAATATCAATTTTATTAATCCCATTCAAAATTATGAAAATTATTATATAAAAATAATAATTATATTAAATTTTAATTTATTTAAATTATATTATTAAAAAAAAACATAAATTTTACATTTAAGACTTTGGAAGGTCGGTATGCAAGCATAATAAAGAAGATATATTTTTTAGCTACCAATATATTTGATTTCCTTGTTAATTTGGTAGATAATAATAATAATTCCACCAATAATACAATAAGCCACACGAATTGAAATTCATTAGTGAAATTGCATATACCTGTCTTAAAATTTATTTTGTCATGTGATAAGAAGCAAGACGAGCAGTGAGAGCCACATCAGCATCTTTAGGCGGAAGTGAAAATCTTTTGGGTAAAAGAAGTCCCAATAATTGATTCCCGCCAAAAAAAGTTGGGTTAAGAAAAGAAATTGTGTTTTCCCGGTTTCCTTTCCCACCACATGCTCCAAATCAATTTGCCTAATTCAAACCTCCCGCTCTCGCTTATACTCTTTGTTTCGCTAAAATAACAAATTCCTAAACCTCTCTTTCTGCGTTTATGCAACAAATCTAATAATGGACCCTAAATTTCAATCCTTGCCCCCACTCAAAAGATTCAGGCTCCTGCAACAGCAACATCAGCTTGAAGAAAACAAAGAAAATCAACCCATCTCACTGCAACTTCCGGCAAAGAAGCGAAAGGAGTCCCGTCATCCACTTCTCCCTGAGCCCACCACTACTAGTTATTGCTTGCCGGCAAAAAAACGGGTTTGGGCACTTCAACCTGCAGATCTCATATCAGGCAACCCCTTTGAGTATAAAGCCTCTCCCTCTTCTGATGACATTAGTGCTAACATTCAGTCCAGAGAAGCTCAACGACCAGTAGAACCAGAGGAAGATGACGTTTGTCCTAACATCCAGTCCACAGAAGCTCAGCAAAAAGTAGAAGAAGAGGAAGATGATGGGATTTTATGTGCTATTTGTGGAAGCACAGATGGAGATCCAACGGATCCCATAGTTTTCTGTGATGGGTGTGATTTAATGGTACACACTGTATGCTATGGCAATCCTTTGATAAAGTGTGTTCCTGAAGGCGATTGGTTTTGTAGCCAATGTTTGGATTCTAAAGCTTACAAAAAAAATAAGGCATCGCCCTCTTGTTGCCTATGCCCAACAAAAGGTGGAGCTATGAAACCCACCACAGATGGTTTGTGGTCTCATATTGTGTGTGCAGTTTTTGTTCCTGAAGCGTTCTTTGAGGATCCAGATGGCCGTGACGGAATTAATTGCTCTAACGTTCCTAAGAAGCGGTGGGAAGATAAATGTTATTTGTGTAAAAGCCGAAAGGGGTGTGTTATAGAATGCTCTGAGCCAAAGTGTCCTTTGGCATTTCATATTACTTGTGGGTTGAATGAGGATCTTTGCATTGAGTATAAACAAGGGAAAAAGGAGGCAATTGTTGCTGGATTCTGCAAAACCCACACTGAATTGTGGAAGAAGGTAACAAAGCCTTGATACTATTTTTTTCATTTTTTGGTTATGGTTAATAGTTCTGTATAGAAAGAAAAATTCTTGATGGCTTTTTTTTTTTTCTTTCCTGTGTGTTTTTGTTTTGCAGCAACAGCAGACAGGAAAATTCAAGATTGTGGCCAGAGAAGAGCACAAGTAGGCTGATAGTTCTTGAATGAAATGTTGATTGAGGAATGGGTTAATTAGATTTTCTTGAATGCTAGAGTTGTTACTTTGTTTAGATTTTCTTAAATGATAGGATAAAGAAGTTGAATATATGTTGTAGGCTTGTATGGATGCATCTAATGTTCAAGTTAATCTCATTTCTGAATTTTGCTTTTCCAAATTAAGCGCTTAAAGAATGGAATAAAACTTTGCTGATTATGTTAATCTTTTTTCATATTCAGAATACAGATAACGAATTTTCTGCATTTATTTACTGTTTTAAATATTTTTTTCCTTCGCTGTCAAATTCCAGGTATTATCATTTTGCTTGCTTATAGTTGTTCTCAGTGATTATTTCTTAAACAGTAGGTTTGTTTCTGTCCCATTTATCTTTCACTATCCATTTCTCTTAATTTTAATTATAAAGAAACTATTCACCAAAACTATGAGCAATCCTAGAGAACCCAATCAATGTAAATTCAAAATTAAATCTCCATTTTCTTTGTTTCTGTTTCAGGTCAGATTGGTCTATTTCAAAGCTATTTATCTTTGAAGAGATTATTTTGTTGATTTATTTTATGGAAATAGGTAATATTTGCTATCAGAATCAAGGTATTGGATTCTTACCCCAAAATACTAAAATATTCCGTGAAGAAATCAAATTTAAATCGGGTTGTTGGTCATCCACGCATCCCCTGAGTTTGGTGAAAATTGTGGCAATGAACAAGTAGACTTGGCCTATTTAGAAATAATCTTTTGCAGTCAGTCATAATGCGTGGACACTATAATTAATCTAAATGAACTATACTGAAGTTGTTAGTGCAGTTTGTAATTATACGAGGAGTTACTATCCCACGTTGAAAAGTTTCCAAGGAAAAGAACAATCAAATAATTTGTAAAATCGACATATTGATGTCTTGCTTTCTTGCAAGGGAAGTTCTTGTTCTGTATAACAAGTTTTGGTTTTCTCATGGCGTCTAGTTCATCTGCACCAAAGGATATTGCAAATGGGCTTATTAGGCTCAATATCAGGGAGTCGGAGGAAGTGGGAGGACTGGTACTGGGAACGGAGGATGTATTGGCCAAAGCCAGCCAAACAAACTTAGCATTGTTGGCAAGTTTCTCACTGATCGCAGGATCAATTTCCAAGCCATGATGAACGGTATCAATAAATTTCAGATTCTGTAAAAAATTAGTGCTTGAATTTAATGGAGATTCAAAATGAGGAACTTCTCATGTATTTCAGAAAAGTTATTTAATTACATCAATAAGTTTGCTATATATACTATTGAGATAACTATACAAGTAAACTAAAAGCTATCCTGACCCTTAGATTAAAAGAAAAGAATATACAAGAATAATTCTTAAAATGGTAGCCATAATTCATTTGTAACCAGTAAAATGCTAACAGATCATGTACTGGTATTGATGAGCTGTATTAACTGAAATAAGCCAAAGCAAGTTGGAAAATTGATGATTTGGCATTGGTGGTAGTTATTTAGAAAGAAGAAAAAGATGAGTGATGTTGGTATATTTTTCACACCCCCCTCAAGATGGAGTTTTGGAGAGATCTGCCAAACCCATCTTGGAGAGGATGGGGTTAAATAAAGGAGAATGGAGGGGTTTAGTGAGGATGTCAGCTATTTGATTTTTGGTGTTTATGTGAGTAGGAAGGATAAATCCAACTTGTAACTGATTCCTCACGAGATGGGAATCAATATCAATATGTTTGGTTTTTTCATGGAAAACTGGATTTTGGGCAATGTGTAGAGCAGCACTGTTATCACAATATAAGGGTATGGGGAGAATTAATGGAATCTGGAGGTCTTTTAAGATGTATGAAAGCCATATTAATTCACAAACAGTAACTGCTAGAGCTCTATACTCTGATTCTGTAGAACTTCTGCTGACAGTGCTTTGTTTTTTTTGATTTCCAAGAGATCAAAGCATTTCCAAGAAAGACACAATATCAAGTTGTTGATTTTCTAGTCAGTGGGCATGATGCCCAATCAACATCACAATATGCAGTTAACTTGAAATCATTGGTTGCATGGAAGAACAAGCCTTTTGAAGGAGTACCTTTCAAGAATTTTAAGACATGCAATGCTGCTTTGTAGTGTTGCTCACAAGGTTTCTGCATAAATTGGCTAAGCTATTGCACTGCATGTGTTATGTCAGGTTTAGTTAAATTCAGATATAGCAGCCTCCCAATGATCCTTCTATATTGTTCAACATCTTCAAGGTAAGGTCCCATTTCTACAGTTAATTTGAGTCCTTGAATTGCTGGAGTATTAGCTGTTTTTGCATTTGAAAGTCTTGCATTATGAATCATGTCCAGAATATATTTGTGTTGAGTGACTATAATCCCATGTTTTGACCTTGCTATTTCCAAACCAAGGAAATATTTGCATGGCCTAAGTCTTTAATTGTGAACTCTTTATGAAGGAAGAACTTAACTTCTCCTATAAGAAACTCATTTTCACTTGCTAAAAGCAAATCATCAACATAAACTAATAGCATTATAAAGTCTGAACCTGTGCCTTTTGTAAACAAACAATGATCATTCATGGATTGTGTAAATCCAAACTGATTGAGCTTTGCTGTCAGCTCTTTGTTCCATCAGGATTGTGTAAATCCAAACTGATTGAGCTTTGCTGTCAGCTCTTTGTTCCACCTACCAGCCTGTTTAAGGCCATAAATTGATTTTTTGAGCTTGCAAACCTGTCCTTGTTCAGCCTTGTTATAGCCAGGGGGAGGTGTCATATACAATTCTTCATCCAAGAATCAATGCAAGTATGAATTATTAATGTCTAATTGCAAGATTGGCCAATTATATGCAGCTGCTATAGCCAAAAACAATCTGACAGTCACTAGTTTAGCTACTGGTGAGAAATTCTCAATATAATCAACCCCTAGCTGCTGGTTATATCCCTTTGCTACAAGCCTTGCCTTGTACCTATCCACCTCCCCATTTGGTTTATATTTAATCCTATAAACCCATTTACACCCAATTACTCTTTTTCCCTTTGGCAATGAAGTAACAATCCAGGTTTTGTTGTTCTTTAATGCAGTTATCTCCATTTGCATAGCTTTGATCCAATTTTGATAATGTTTTGCCTTATTGTAGGTTGATGGTTCATGGAGTTGTTGAATCTGTTTTTGGTATGTATGGTAGGCTGTAGATGAGGCAAATTTGGGAAAGGTGCTATCAAATGGTAAATCATGCATGTTTGAGGTAGATTCTGCAGTAGAGTCATCATTGCTATTGTTTTGAAGAAATGAAACATAATCTTGCATCCAGACTGGTTGCATCCAGACTGGCCTATTTACAATTCTAGTTGACCTCCTAGGTATCATTTCTGTAAATTGACTATTAGAGCTACTTTTTGGCAAAGGAATTATGACAGGAAACATGGGTTCTGGTTGGTTATTGGTATTGGTTTTCGTCTGGTCATTGGTGTTTTCAGTTGTTTCTGGTTGTGGATTTTGAAATTGGTGTTCAGGTGTTGGTGTTGGTTCCGTGTCATAAAGGATTTGGGTGATATCAATGTTGGTTGGTAAAGGACAGTCATTTGGTTCAATGGAGTAATGTTCTTTATAAGCAAAAAATGCTTCATGGAATATTACATCTCTAGATGTAATTATGCATTTGTTTTTGAGGTCATACAATCTGTATGCCTTTTGATCATTTGCATATAGTAATGCACACTTAATAGCTCTAGGATCGAATTTGTCTTTATGGGGTTTTACATGGGTAGCATAACACAAACACCCGATGATTCTTAAATGAGAAAGGTCAGGTTTTTGTTTGTGTAAGGCTTCAAAGGGTGATTTCCAGTTTAAGGTTTGTGAAGGTATTCAGTTGGATATATGGGTTGCAGCTAACAGTAGCTCTGATCAGAAACATTTTGGAAGACCTAACTGGAACATTAAAGACCTAGTAACTTGCAGTAATGTTTTATGCTTTCTTTCCACAATGCCATTTTGCTATGGGCTATAGGCATAAGACTTTTGGTGATGGATCCCTTTAGAAGTAAATAGATCATGACATTTGATATTAATAAATTCTATTCCAATATCAGATCTAATGGACTTAATCTTCTTGCTAAACTTGTCTGTATCAGATTTAAGAAATTGACAATAACATTATGAACCTGAGTTTTATCCTAATGGACTTAATCTTCTTGCTAAACTTGTCTGTATCAGATTTAAGAAATTGACAATAACATTATGAACCTGAGTTTTATCCTTAATCATATAAGTCCATATGTATCTACTATGATCAACATGCAGATAGCACCTGTGATAGATTTAATTCTTTAAGGTCCCCACAAATCAATGTGAACCAAATCAAAAGGTAATGGAGATAAATGATCAGAAGGATAGAAAGGCAGTCTTTGCTGCTTAGATAAATGACAGACTAACTCATTTACATTGTCAATATCTTTTACATTTGAATGACTTAACCTTTGAACAGATAAATGTCCTAATCTGAAATGCCACAATGTGGACTTGTTCATTCTTTGAACTTTATTTACATGATTAACTTTTGACGCTGGCTTAATTAAGAAAAAACTTTGACTCAAGATATATAGACCCTCCGACACTTTTCCAATAGCAATGATATCCCTACTCAGCAAATCCTGCAAAATGCAATAGTTTGGATATAAGTGGGCTGATGTATTGCAAGTTTTGGTTAATTTGTCGCTGAGATAAGGTTACAATCAAAACTTGGTAAAAACAAGGTATCAATCAAGTGGATTCTACCACTAAATTTAATCTTTCCAAAATGAGTTATTGTTTTAAAGGTTCCATCAGGCAATCTTACTGTTTTTGGGTTCCCAAGTTTATGTATAGTCTCAAAGAATGAAGAATTACCAGTCATGTGGTCTGTACATCCAGAATCAACAACCCATTTACCAGTTTCCTTGCAATTCAGTTTAACATAATCAAAAGTAGAAGTTATACCTGCAAATGAGATAGTGTTGGCTGCTGCACTCTGTTGTTGTGGATTCTTGTTCAAATTCATATCCCAATGATTTTTGTTTGAAGATGCTCCTGCTGCATGATTCATTTCAATTGGACTGTCAAAATCTCTAGTCACAGCATTTGCCTTTGCATTTGCAGCCTTTCTTTTCTGCCTTAAGTCTTCCCACCAATCTGGATATCCTATAATTTTGAAGCAGCCTGCCTTAGTGTGACTTGAAGTTTTGCAGTCTGTACAG